TCCTCTCTCTCCTCTGGCCCCCTCCTGGCTCTACCCGGGGGAACTCCAGGAGCCTTTTATCCCGCCCTCCCCATGCCCCTGTGCCCAAGTGCTGGACGTACGATTCTTGGGGATTTGGAGCGGTGGGGACAATCGGGGCGATGTTCTCAGGCTCCACACCAGCTTTCCCTTCGCTGTAATTGCGGTTGGAGGTTGTGGAGGGGTCGGGTGGGGGCTAGGCTAATTGCGTAATTTTCTGAAGTCCTTACTTCGTTCTGCCTCCAGACACGTAGTTGTGAGGACTCTAAGGGCACCTCCATCCTCAGCTTCCACTCGGCCCCCCCTGGGGTTTGGAGACCGGCTGTCAGCCGCCTTCTCCCAGAGGCTAGTAGGTGTGGAAAGATGGGGATGGGGTGGGATGGAGTAGGAAATTGGCTAAATTAGGGCTCTCGGTGAGTGTGTGTGTGTGTGTGTGTGTGGCGAGTTTTTATTCCTACCCCAGCCGACCTAGGTACGCGCTGCCGATTTTGAGCCCCAGGACTGGTGGGGAGTCATTCCCTGTCCGTTTATCTTTTCCTCTTGTACCGCTCTTCGTCCCCTTCCCTGGAGGCATAGCCTCCTTCCCAGGCTAGACTGCAAGTTTATCCGGAAGGGCTGGGAGAGGGGCCTGGTCTTGGTTGGCTCAAAAGTTCCCTCCTCCTGCCCTCCGGCGCCCCCCTCTGGCAGTCAGCTCGCCCGCCCGGGGAGACTGGAGTTGGGCGTCTAGGAGATTCCCGCCGGCTCTTCTTGCCAGGACAGACCCGGGCAGCAGGTTTCCGTTTGCTAACCGAAGAGTCGTGTGTGGACTTATTCACGGACAAACAGTTTCCATCCCTTTCCTGTCAGCATCCGCGGTTCCCAGGCTTCGGAGGCGCCAAGGCTCGATCTAGCCTAGAATAGTTGCTTGTTGAGTTCAGGCCCCATCAGGCTTCGTTCGTCTAAAAAAAAAACACAAACCCGCAACAAACTGGGAGAAATGCGCCCCCGAAAGATCCGGACGGGAGAGGCTAGTGCAGAGTGTGGGCTCCCAGCCCTGTGCGCAGAGAACCTGGTGCTGCTGGGCATCTTACAGAGGAGCCCGTGGGAGGAACCAGGCGGGGGAGGGGCACCCACCGCTCATTTCACATCCACAGGTGCACATCACCACCGAACATGCCTGACTCCTTTGTTCTCATTACTCCTTCGAAAAGTCTGCAAAAAGTGCCTCCATAGGGAGGTGGACTGTGCCTCCAGGGTTAGATCTTTTTTAAAAAAAATATATATTTTATTGACTTTAGAGAGGACGGGAGAGGGAGAGATAGAAACATCAATGATGAGAGAGATTCATTGATTGGCTGCCTCCTGCACGCCCCCTACTGGGGATCGAGCCCACAACCCAGGCATGTGCCCTTGGTGGGAATCGAACCTGGGACCCTTCAGTCCCCAGGCTGACACTTTATCCATTGAGGCAAACCAGCTAGGGCAGGGGTTAGATCTTTAAGAACAGGTCTTCCCCCCTTCCCCACACCAACTCCTTCACATCTTGTAAACATTCTGTTGTAGGGAAGATTATCTACTCATTCCGGAAACAGTTGAGTGTCTTGCTGGCCGCCAGGATTGCTTCAGCGGTTCTCAACCTGTGGGTCGAGACCCCTTTGGCAGTCGAACGACCCTTTCACAGGGGTCGCCTAAGACCATCCTGCATATCAGATATTTACATTACAATTCATAACAGTAGCAACATTACAGTTATGAAGTAGCAACGAAAATAGTTTTATGGTTGGGTCACAACATGAGGAACTGTATTTAAAGGGCCAGAAGGTTGAGAACCACTGGAAGAGGAAACAACTTGGTCCTTGACTTTCAGGAACTTACAATTTAGCTGAGAATCCAGATAGAAACTGGAAAGCTTTAAAAAAATAAATTTATGGGGGTAACATTGGTTAACAACATCATATAGGTATGATATACAATACATGATCTGTATATTGCATTGTCTGTATGTTGTACCACCCAAAGTCTAGTCTTCTTCCATCACTTATATGTTTGACTCCCTTTATCCTCTCATCCCCCCAAAGTATTTTATTCTTATTCTACAGTTTGATGGAGGAGGCTAGGAAGGTGGTGGGAGTATAAGTTTGTCTTGAGGAAATACGGAGGAGGAATCGTAGGAATGGATTCTGGGGAGGGGTGGTTGGTGGTCAGGGAAGGCTGTGATCAGGAGGCGACAATTGAGAGTGGTCTTGCAGGCTTTGTAGGGGCAGGTGGACAAAGTGGGAAAAGCATTCCAGGCAGAGGGCACAGCTGTGCAGAGGCAGGGGAGCATGGCAGGGCCTACCCCCGTGGTCGTGGCAGTTGCTGAGGGAGCCTGGCTTCCAGTGCCACTTGGCACCACTCCAACACCAGAGGCCACGTCTTCTGCAAAAATCATCCGAAGAACCAGAGAAGCGGGCGGGGGAGGGAATTATATCTCAATTCTTTCACTAGAACTTATTGTCGCTTGAGGGGGTTTGCTTAGCAGCTTTCTGGGGGCAGCCTCTTTGATTTTGCCCTTACCATCAATTCTGCCTCACACATCCATCCTCCGAGGTAGCAGAGGCTGGCTTGTGATTACTTTATCAGGATCCAAACAGGCGCCTGGGAAGTTTATTTGTCAAGTGGGACAATTGTTGTCTGGGCTGTTAACAGTCCAAGATGAAATAAACATGTGGGCCATTTAGGGAGCTGCTCAGATGTCCCTGCCTTTTAATGGAAATGAGTAGATGATATCAGGCACATTTTAATTAAAAGCAGCGCTGCAGTGCAGTCGCAGTTACACAGGAGAAAATGTAATGATAGGTGTCACCGGAAGCTGCTGGAACCGCCCATTGTTCAGAGAACTTGTTTTACAGAGTAAAGTGGAGTCAAGGTAGGAGGTGCTGTTCTCCAGTCTTTTGCGGGTGAAAGTGAATTCTGGAACTTCCAGGTACCTTATTAATAATGAAGAATTCAAAGGCTAAAATCATAGCAGTAATACCACATCATGTCCACGAGTTTTCTCCAATGGCTTGCAAGTGTGGATGACATCAACTCAGTGATTGCTCCCCCTTGGCTTTCCAGCGTGTTTTAGTCGCCAGGCAGGGGGCGGAGGTGGACCAGGGGCCACCGGCTGGAAAGGAGAGATTCCTTCCTGAAACACCTATGCTGCTGCTGAACTATGAGCTGAATGGAGCTGTGGACAGAGCCCTCAGCCTCCAGTAAGCATGTGAAATATTGACTGAGTGGAACCGGCCTAGAGCATATTCTGCAAAGATATTGCCTTTGGGGGTATTAACGACTTCTGTAGGAGTCCGGGGACCCACATTCTATCAGGTGGTTGTGAAATCCTGCTGTAAAGTGAGGTCTCGGAGCATCTCTGCAGCATCATATCCCTCCACATGGACCAGGGGAGAACAGCTGCCATCATGGACAATGAGCCAGATTAGATTTGAAGTGAGCCAGACCCAGGAGGATTTGCTTGGGAGCTTAGGCCTGTTACCCTGGAAGTGGACAGAGTAGGTTCTGGCCCTGAGTACTCTCCGGCTGGGCTGGGGATGAGCCAATAGCAGCAGCAGGTGTCCTGGGAGATTAGGGAGGTTAGGGTGGCCGTTCCGAATCCCAGAGCCAGGCCCCAAGTGCCTCTGAGACATTGACACTCTGCCTTCCAGCTTTTAAAACGTGTTTCTCCCACAGAAGGTTTTTTATCCTGCTTAATGCCAATTCTTAGCTTCAGCCATTTGTAGAGCACTTACAGCCAAAGTGGAAAACTTTAATAGAGTTTCCTTGGAAAAGGGCAGCAGCTCCATGCTCGGACAAGAAGCAGAAACATTCAAGTAGAATTATTTTTCATGGGACCCACACTCAGACTACACAAGGTCCAGGAGAGGCCGTGCAAATGCTATCTCATTAATACATTTTCTGATTCCGCAGGCAGTGTACAAAGGGCTGCCTTTTACACATGCTGCTGTCGGCACGAGGCATTTCCATCCTGAGGGGGACCAATTAAAGGAAGAGAAGAGAACCATATCTGGAAGCTTTACTGATGTCTCTTGTTCTGTTTTTGTGGGGTGTTTTCATGACAAGAGCAATGGAATTATCTTAAAGCCAGGGAAGCCCCTTCACTTAAAGGCTGTAGGGGGAGGAGTGAATATAGGTTTGATGTATAGATTTTACAAAGTGAAGCCAGAGCGAGAGCCTTTCTAGGTCGCTAGGCAAGTGGAGGGGTTGGGAGGAAGGGGGCCACCTGCACCTTTTGGACGTGTTCATGGAGTGTGGGACCAGGGAGCTGGAATGGCCTGGAGAGCTGGGCTTATGAAAGACAGATGCAGCACATGCCAGATGTGCTGGGAGTGTTCACGTAGTTATCACGGAAACCTCACGAGGCTGGGAGGCAGGTGTGATCATCCCATTTTATGGAGGAGGGAACTGAGGCTCCGAGAGGTGAAGGGATTTTTTCCAAGGGCACAGAGTTAGTAGGGGGATGAGATAGGGTTGACACTGCTCTTTGTTTAGTGTTGTCTCCACAACACTTTCTGGGCTGAGGGCGCTGTGTTCTCATTTGGGGACAAGGATCCACGGGCACCCACTGGGGTCTTCTGTCAGTTTCACAGAATCGGTTTGGGTGCCTCTTGGGCTTGTCCAGCTGCAGGGCTCCTAGTCTCAGAGATTTGGGCATCGTAAGGATGACCATCATGGTGGGTCGTTAGTCCCTGCATGCCGTCTGTCACCACAATAATGTGCATAACAAGCTACCAAAAACCCAGTGGCCTCCAACATTTATTTTGGTATACGTGTCTGTAGGTTGGTTTGCTGTTGGCTGCTCTAGGCCAGGTTTGGCTGGGCGTGGTTTCAGACTCAGGAAGGATATCTGCTCACCATGTCTCAGTCTCTCTGGACCAGTGGACCAGCAGGGCCATGTGTTCTCATCTTTGTGCAGAGGTACAAGAGAACATTCACGCCTCCGCTTGTGTGACATCGCTAGCTTCCCAGTGACCCCAGCAAGTCACATGGCCAGGCTCAAAGTCAAAGAGTGGGGACTTCACTCCCACCCTAGTGGAGGGAACTGCAAAGCCACACAGCTAAGGCTGTGAATATGGGAGGGGTAGAGATTTGAAGCCAATAATTTAGTCAACCACGGCCCTTTTAGAAAGTTTCCTTGGCCTGAATGCCATCCCGTCCTCTCGTGGTTTCCCCAGATATGCATATTTCTCTGAGGTCATTGCACCCAGAGCGGTGATCGTGCATCAACTTATCAGTTAATTAATTGGGTCCTAAATTCAGGGCCTGCCATGTCAGGCTCTGGGCAAGGCGCTGGGGCTACAGGGATGCGTCCTTCTTCTCATGTCCTGCTAAGGATCCATTCCAAACTCCTGTCCAGAGGAAGACCAGCATGGAGGTCCGCTGAGATTACTCTTGATTTAATTTCTGCCATATCGGTGTGGAACACGATAGGTCAAACTGAAATATTAGCTCCTTTCCGGCCTTTTCAAGGAGCTTACAGAACTGCTGCTAACTGAGCTCACTTGGAGAAAAGCATCACCACTCCCAACAGGAGGCCCACGCTGCTCTTAGTTTAGTGTTGTCTCCACAACTCTTTCTGGGTGGAGGGTAGACACCCATTTAGCTCAGTGCTTCTTTGCACACAGTAGGTACTCAGTCAGTCTTTGGGAATTGAGTCTGGTGAGGGATAAGCAGGTTCAGGCAGGCAGGATGGACACTTAATGAGACCATAATGTAAATCAGCATATCCCACTCCTCTGCCCCTTAAACACACACCTGAAAGCCCTCCAATGACACCCCTTGCAGGGCTCACAAGGCAGGTCCTATTTTTGGCCTCATTTTCTACCACTCTTCCCTCCACCATCCCACTCCGCTCCAGCCACACGAGGCTTTTCTCTGGTCCTTGAACATGCCAGCTTTGTTCCGTTTGCACTTGCTGTTCTCTAAACCTGGAGAACTTGCCCCCCAGGTTTCCCATCACCGGTTCCTTCTCATCATTTAGTTTCAACTCAGAAGAACCTTCCCTGACCATCCTTTCTGAAGCCCCATGCAAATTGCTTTCTCTTTCATTACTCTGTTTTGTTTTCTGCTAGCATTTACTGCTATCTCAGATTATCTTCTTTCTTTCTTGCCCGCTCCTCACCCCCTGCCCCAGGAATGCACGCTCAGTGACGGCATCGCCAGGGCCTAGCAATGTGCGTGTTACACAGTAAACCCCAGTAACACCTGTTGAAAAAGTATTGAATGAATGAATGAATGAATGCATGTGGAATGAATGGATGGATGGAAGAGGGGTCTCTGGGTAAACCGGTCTTATATCTGCTGCATTGCCAAGGGGAAACCTTTAATCTTCAGGGCAGAGGACATGGGGAAGCCTGACACAAACTGAGCAGGCAGTTATATGCACTGTGTCTTTAACTTAACCCTTGGTCTGCTTTGGCCGTGACAGGCTTTAGCTCCAGAGACCCTTTGCTGACCTACCTTCTGTTGACAGAAGCCCTGATTGCTGCTCATGGGAAGAGCAAAGAGGGTAGATTTCCTCCCCAGACCTGTGGGGCACGGGCTGAGGGAGGGAGGACAGAGGAGGCTGTAATGGCTCATGATGCCCCCAGGAACATCCACTGGGGCTCTGTGGGACACATGGGGCTCAGGCTCTCCAAATCTTGCCTCAGAGACTGCATTACCATGAAGACAAAAGTTGACAGCTGCTGCTGATTAAAACATTCCCAACTGTGAAAGCAGAATCACACTATTGAGATGCTAAGCGTAGACAGACACAGGCTTTATGAATGCCTTAAACACAGTCCCTTCGAGTGACTTTATTAATGTATTAATGTGACCTTATTAATGTATATAATTGGGAGTCACTTGGCAGCCATGCGTGTATCATTCTGCAGAACTGCCCTCCCTGGGGGGAGGGGGGTGATGGTAGGGGTGGCTCTGAGAAAGCCTTAGAGATTTGCCATTTCTTAGCTGGGGCAATAGGGGACTCAGGGCCATGTTTCTGTGCATTAAAGTTCTCCAACAGTAGTCAGTGTCTAACTTTCCTGTCAGGAGTCCCCTGGATGGAATTGTTTATTTGTTGTCCCAGGGATCCTCTTTTTTGGTCAGTTCCTCTGTCCTGCTTCTCCACCAGGGACAGGATCTCTCTCCATTGCCCTCCTCTTTACACAGGTGGTTGAGCCCGATGAATAGGGCTCGCTCTGCTGAGCCTTCACTGGTGACAGGGGGTCAGATTTCGCTGCTGTATCTGTCTCTGATGCCACGATTCTTAGGGCTGCAATTCTGTATCCACAGACCCTAGATCTAAAAAAGCTCACAAACCCAAAGTTTCACCCTAGCCGGTTTGCTCAGTGGATAGAGCATCGACCTGCAGACTGAAGGGTCCTAGGTTCTAATCAGTCAAGGGCACATGCCTGGGTTGTGGGCTCGATCCCCAGTAGGGGGCATGCAGAAGGCAGCCAATCAATGATTCCCTCTCATCATTGATGTTTCTATCTCTCTCTTCCTCTCCCTTCCTCTCTGAAATCAATAAAAATATATTAAAAACAAAAGAAACCCAGTGTTTCTCCATAACTCACCTGACAGCAAAACCAACCCTGAGCTGTGCTCATTTGGTGGTGAAACTTGACCTCAATGGATATGAGGCTATTTATAGTCTTTATTTAGCCAATTAGAGGAAACTGTCACACTTTTTGCTCCAGAAATACTGTTTTTGATTATGGGGTACTGATTCAGGTTTTGCTGAAGATGTTACATAACATGTGGCATTATATTACCTTTCTAATGTATGATACATTGTGAATCTGAACTATATTAGGCCCTTAGGGTTTAGGACAAGGGATTATCAGTCTTTAACAAATGGGGGTTTGGGAGGGAAAAGGGACCAAGAAACTATAATGTCAGGGGGATAATGGAGCAGAGGTGCCTTCTTTTCCGCCCAGCAAGAGAGCACCCCAAGCACCATCATTGGCTTCCTCGTATTCCCGGCCACTCCTGGCTTCTCTGATTTCTGTTCCACGTTTCTGCCAGCCGTCTGCATTTCAAGTCAAGACAGCTCTTTGTTTCTTTTTCAGTGCTGGGCTCTGGGATGGATCCCGACCTTCAGATGGATATTATCACCGAACTTGACCTCGTGAACACTACCCTGGGCGTCACGCAGGTGTCCGGACTGCACAATGCCAGCAAAGCATTTTTATTTCAAGGTAAAGCGCTTCTTCCTTGGCACAGGGCAGAGCGTGGGGAAGAGGGCCGCCTGGGGGCTGCTCACCTGGTGTGTATTTGTTGGAAGATCACCTCTGCTGTGTCTCTTGTGTTATTGTCATAAGGAATGCTCAGAAATGCTGAGGGTGTTCAGATATCCCGGGGGTGTTCTGACGGTGCGAGGGGGCACTACAGGACATGGTGGTGAAATAGTTGGTTTGCAGTGAAAAATTTCTCTGGGGATTTAGAAAAAATGTTTTTATTGATTTCAGAGAGAGGAAGGGAGAAGAAGAGAGAGATAGAAACATCAATGATGAGAGAGAATCATTGATCAGTTGCCTCTTGCATGCCCCTCACTGGGGATCGAGCCCGCAACCCAGGCATGTGCCCTTGACCTGGTTCATGGGGTGACGCTTAACCACTGAGCCACAGCAGCTGGGCTCTCTGGGGATTTTGGTGGGGATGTAAAGTGGAATGAATCTGCAAAGTCCTTGAAAGCCATTGCCAGCCATATTTTTCTTTATTATCTGCATATTTACCTACAACTACACTTATTCCTGCATCTCTCATCAAATGGACAGATCATGAGCACGGAGGGTGTTTTATGGCTCCGTTCTCTTGGGGGTGCTGTGTAGTTGGTTATGCCCACTACATTTGACTGCAGTTCACTAAATCATCCCACAAGCATTCAAAGGCAGTATCATGTGCTTCTTAAATGCATGGTCTCCAGAGCTTGACTGCCTGGGATCAGATTCCTAGCCTTCCACTTATAGCCTTGGAGATTTTGGGCAGTTACTTAGCCTGACTCTGCTTGTGTCCTCATCTGAAAGAATCGTGAGGCTGTTGCAAGAAGCGAATCAAGCGAAGTGGTTAAAACAGTGCTGGCACGTAGGAACCCCTCAGTAAGTACTCACTATTATTACAGGACTCCTACTGCGAACCAGGCAACATGCTAATAGGGTTACCAGCAAGAGTCATAAGTGAGGTACAGCCCCTGCTCTAAACAGAGTGAGGAAAACAGTCATTACACAGGGATTCTTGAATTCCAGTGGTTTGTACTTAACAATGAAGGGACGTAGAGACTGTCAAATAAGAGTGGCAGTCAGACTTGGTTTAACTGGCGTGGGGAGAGGGTAGTGGTCAGGGAAAGGTATCCTCAAAAAGTGCTATGCCCCTTGAAAAATGAATAGAAAACCTGGTGTAGGAAGGGGTGGGGCTCAGAGCACTGGGGGAGAGGAAGTGGTATGTGTGAAGGTCTCAAGGCAGAAAGCCGAGTAGCATGGCTGACGGTGGTGAGTGGCTGGAGAGGTAGGCAGGGGCTGAGGTCGCACTGGGCCCTGTGGGCAGAACTGGTATTTAGCTGATAGCCATGGGTGCGGGGGACTGATGATTGATAGGCGCAGTGTCCATTCTGATAGGCAGGTGGGGATGTTTTTGTTATCGACTGTTGTAAATATTACTCCAGCCTGGAGGCCAGGTTAGTGGTTTTGTACTTTACTCTCAGA